ATCATTTTGGGTTATTAAAAACAGTGCTTCTGTGAACATTCTTGTGTCGGGCGAACATATTTCACTTGGGTATCTAACCTAGAAATGGAATTTCTAGGTCAGAGGGTATGCCTGTGTTCAACTTTAGTAGATCTGTCTTGCTTATCTTTAACTCCTGTTTACTTGTAGCCCATTTATGGCCCCTTTAGCCTCTTACTGTCTCATGACTTTTCAGCTTTGGTCACACTGTTCACAGCTTTACTCTCTGCATACTTATCAGTTCATTTTCCTGTGAGAGCTAGTGGTCTACTTCTCTGCCTACTGGGTGGAACCTGCTTAGCTTGACCACCTTATTGGTTGCTATTTGCATTTCTTGCCCCAGTGAGTTGTGGCTTAAAAGGGTGGTAACAGAACATGGCCGTTCTGGCACGTGATTGACATTCCTAGTATTCGAATAAAAGTAAAAAACAAGTAAAATAAGTTAAAGTAAAATATAGCAAAACATAGAAAAGGCAAGCCAAATAGTTTAAAACTCTGCTACAGTAATGAAAAAAAAAGAGCATTGGGATTCAGCAGGGACTTGGATTGCAAATGAGAATAGCCAACAGACCCTGTGCATGTGCAGGTGAAATTCCTAGGGAAGACCACCCATCTCTGCTGGCCAGGCCCAGGCAGATGGGCTGGAGCCCTGACCTCGGAAAGACACTTGATGTTCCTGGGCAGGAGGGGTAAGTTGCATTTCTGTTTAGGTAAGATCGCTCTTTTGCTCCAGAGAAAATGTCCGATGTGTAAAACTTACAGGCTTGTTGTTTGTTGCAGAGGGGCTTAGGTCTGTCTAGAGCCATGTCCATCTGCTCCTCTCCCCTCTTCTCTCCTGCCCTTTGCAGTCGCACCACCACACCTAGCTCACTTAATTTTTTTGTCATTGTTTGTAAAGATAGGGTCTTACTATATTGCCCAAGCTGGACTCAAACTCCTGAGCTCAAACAGTCCTCCCACATCAGCCTCCCAAAGTGCTGAGATTATAGGTGTGAGTCACCACAAGTGGCCTTATTTTTTGTTTTGTTTTGTTTTTATTATGGAAAATTTCAAGCATGCCAGAAGTATAGAAAATTAAATAGAGTGACCCCTCATAAATCTTTTTTTTTTTTTTTGAGATGAAATCTTACTCTATTGCCTAGGCTGGAGTGCAGTAGCACGATCTCAGGTCACTGCAACCTCCGTCTCCCGGGTTCAAGTGATTCTCCTGCTTCAGCCTCCCGAGTAGCTGAGATTACAGGTGTGTGCCACCATGCCCAGATAAATTTTTTCTTTTTTTTTTTTTTTTTGAGACGGAGTTTTGCTGTGTAGTCTTGGCTGGAGTGCAGTGGCTCAATCTCGGCTCACTGCAACCTCCGCCTCCCGGGTTCAAGTGATTCTTCTGTCTCAGCCTCCCGAGTAGCTGGGACTACAGGCACACGCCACCACGCTCGGCTAATTTTTGTATTTTTGGTAGGATGGGGTTTCACCATCTTGGTCAGGCTGGCCTGGTCTTGAACTCCTGACCCTGTGACCCGCCTGTCTCGGCCTCCCAAAGTGCTGGGATTACAGGCATGTGCCACTGCGCCCGGCCAAGTTTTGTATTTGTAGTAGAGATGGATTTTCGCCATGTTGGCCAGGCTGGTCTCGAACTCCTGACCTCAGGTAATCTGCCTGCCTTGGCTTCCCAAAGTGCTGGGATGACAGGCCTGAGCCACCGCACCCAGTGAACCCTCATAAATCCATCACCAAATTTCAGCAGTGATCAACATTTTACCATTTTCCCCACCACCATCTTTTTTGGGTATTTTGATATAAAATAGTGAAAATAGTGCTCTTATTTCAAAAAACAACATTGTGGAAAATATCTTAGAAAATGAGACACCTGTAACCTCACCCCTCAGAGCCGCTGTTAATTCCGTGTGTGTGTGTGTGTGTGTGTAGTTTTTAAGGACATTATTGTTGTTGTTGTTGTTATTTTTTTTTTGAGATGGAGTCTCACTTTGTTGCCCAGCTGGAGTGTAGTGGCGCAGTCTCAGCTTACTGCAGCTTCCACCTCCCAGGTTGAAGTGATTCTCCTGTGTCAGCCTCTCGAGTGGCTGGGACTACAGGCACCTGCCACCCATTATTTTAAATATTTACAGTATATTCTGTTATACAGGTAAACCATATTAATCAAGTTCCCTATGGGGGCCATTTGGGTTATCGGCTTTACTGTGTTGATTAATGGTGCAATCATTAATCTTCCTATCATATGTACTTGAGCAAGTTTTTTTTTTTTTAGACAGGGTCTCCCTCTGCCGCCCAGGCTAGTGTATAGTGGTGCAGTCCCTACTCACTGCAGCCTCAAACTCCTGGGCTCAAGCGATCCTCCCACTTCAGCCTCCTGGGTAGCTGGGATGACAGGCATGTGCCATTGAGTCTGGCTAATTATTTTTTGTAGAGATGGGGTCTATGTTGCCTAACTTGGCCTTGAGCTCCTGGGCTCAAGTGATCCTCACCTTGGCCTCCCAAAGTGCTGGGATTACAAGCGTGAGCCACTACGCCCAGCTGGAGGATGCACATCTTAAAGATTTAATAGGTGCTGCCAAATTGCCCTCCAAAGAGACTATGTCAGTTTATAATTTCAGCAGTAGTGAATGGAAATGTACAGGAGTATTTTATTTTATTTTATTTTTTGAGACGGAGTTTTGCTCTTGTCCCCCAAGCTGGAGTGCAGTGGTGCCATCTCGGCTCACTGCAACCTCTGCCTTCAGGGTTCAAGCAATTCTTCTTCCTCAGCCTCCCAAGTAGCTGGGATTACAGGTAGCTGGGATTACAGGTGTGCATCACCACACCCAGCTAATTTTTGTATTTTTAGGAGAGACGTGGTTTCACCATGTTGGCCAGGCTAGTCTCAAACTCCTGGCCTCAAGTGTTCTGCCCACTTGGGCCTCCCAAAGCGCTGGGATTATAGGCGTGAGCCACCACCCAGCCAGGGATATTTTAAAGTAAATCCTAACTATTATGTCATTTTCACCTGGAAATACTTCTGTATTTTTTTGCTAACAGATAAGGACATTTTTTTGTGTTTTGACATAACCATTATCACTTCTGAAAAATGAATACCTTTTTACTGATGGTTTGTTCAAATCAGAATTCAGACAAGGCATTCAAAATGTGCATGTGGAAAGGAATACTGAAGAGGATGCCCACGTTCAGCGCTGCAATTTTGAAACCCTGTCAACTGGGGGCAATGGCTCATGCTAGCCACTTGGGAGGCTGAGGTAGAAGTTTAGGCTTGAGCCCAGGAGTTTGAGGCCAGCCTGGGCAACATAGCAAGATCCCATCTGCTTTGTGCAGATGCGGGTTTGGGGCCTGAAGTGAAGGCCTCTTTTACTCTAGGCTTGTTTCTGCTGCAGTCTAAGTGATGTTTGAAGATTTCTGGTCTGTTTGCTTCTGGTCAGCCCCACACCCAAGGTTCTGCTAGAGATCTCTCTCTCTAGTCTGCGTTTTTTTGGTTTTTTTTTTTTTTGAGATGGCGTCTCACTCTGTAGCCCAGGCTGGAGTGCAGTGGTGTGATCTTGACTTACTGCAACCTCCACCTCCCGGGTTCGAGCAATTCTCCTGCCCCACCTTCCCGAGTAGCTGGGACTACAGGTGTATGCCACCACACCTGGCTAATTTTTTGTATTTTTAGTGGAGACAGGGTTTCGGCATTTGGCCAAGCTGGTCTGGAACTGCTGACCTCAGGTGGGTGATCTGCCTGGCTCGGCCTCCTAAAGTGCAGGGATTACAGGCTGAGCTACCACGTCTGGCCCCAAGCCTGCCTTATTTCTGTGCGGCCTCGCTCATATGCTTCTGGGTCTCAATTTACAGGAGCTTCCTTGAAGCTTTCTAAAACAAATGCCTGGAGGTTGTAACTGCCTTCCTGTGATCTCTGCTGCAAAGATGAGCCATTTGTGCAACGGAGAAGGCTTGCGGGCTATTCTTTGCCAATGTTTTTGCAATCTTACTCTTCTATTATTTGGGCTGTAGAAACTTTTACAACTGGTGAGACTTTTGCTCTCTAGACTTTACTTATTCTTTCCATTTCTGCTTAAAAAGTGGTATAGCCATTCTTGCCTGTACTTACCTTTGTCTTGAAATAGCTTGCTAAGGCAGTCAGTAGTAATTAGCATACTCCATCATTCTGACTCTTCCCACCACTTTCCCTAGGCCAGCAGGCTCCGCAGGCAGTGGATCTATGAAAGGCAGCAGTGACTACAGGCATTCCTTTAAGCGGGCAATATTTCATCATGATATATGCCAGGCTGTCTAGCATTTTGCCACCTGACCAATAAGCCAAACTCACATATTTTAGATTTTTGTTCACAGCAGCAGCCCACATCAGGGTGCTCATTTGTTGTCAGTCAGGGTTTGGTCAGGAAAATGGAAACTACCCTAGGTATTTCAAGCAGGAAGGCATTTAACATAGTGAACTAGAGGCTTACAAAACCATTATCAGGGCTGGGGGTGATGTGGCAGCAGGGCCAGGGAAAGTTACTGTTAGCTTTCAGAAAATTAGGAAGTAAAAGAATTGTAGGAAACTGTTGCAGATCAGCTGGGCCCTCTGTAGGACCAGGGAAGGTGAATTTCAGGAGAGTTCTTAGAGGCTGCTGGTGCAATGTGACATCAGCCCAGAGCCTACGCCCACGCCCATGCCCACCCCTGCTGGAAGAATCCCATCTCTGCTGCTCCTCTGCTTTCTGAATCTTGTAGGGTAGCTGAGCCTCTCCTCACTGGCCAGGATCCAGGTAAGGTGGTTCCTGCTATCCAAGGGAGGGCACAGACTGGGAGGAAATGATGCTTTGTTCCAACTTCCCCTAAAGTTGAGGGGACCACTAAACCTTACAAAGATAGGAGAAACAATTCTCAGTATATTGCTGTTAAATTAAGTTATAGATTAAAAGTTTGCTGTCTGGAAGTGAATACAAATATATGCATAAATAACATTTTATTTTTGTAATCATTTTTATTTATAGACTATAAAGCAATTGGCAAAATAGGAGAGGGAACGTTTTCTGAAGTTATGAAGATGCAAAACCTGAGAGATGGAAACTACTATGCATGTAAACAAATGAAGCAGCGCTTTGAAAGGTAGGCTGCCAGAGATGCACTTGGGACCAAACACACATCCAGGTTTCAATCAATAACGGAGACTTACTACTAGGAGGGAACTTTATTAATTTAATAAAGTGTAAGATACAGTCAGATTTCTTTGGACAGTGAGGGTTATGTGCTAATGTTATGTTTACCATACTGGAGTTTACTCATATCCAGTCTTACTGTAATATCAGTGATGAATGACCACAAAAAAGTTTTTAAGTTTCAAAAGTGTGTCTCACCTTAAACAGTGTGTATGTTCCTAAAAGTTATATATGTGTTGGATTTCTTTTTTTTTTTAATTACAAAAACAAAAAATGATGTATCAACCAATCGAACAGGATAGAGAGCTTGGAAGTGAACCCTTTATGATCCATTTAATTTTTTTTTTTTTTTTTTTGAGGCAGAATCTCACTCTGTCTCCCAGGCTGGAGTGCAGTGGTGCAATCTTGGCTCACTGCAACCTCTGCCACCCCAGTTCAAGCGATTCTTGTGACTTAGCCTCCTAGTAGCTGCAACTGCAGGTGTGTGCCACCAAGCCCTGCTAATTATTATCTTTTTAAAGTATAGATCAGGTGTTACCTTGTTGGCCAGGCTGGTCTTAAACTCCTTGGCCTCAAGTGATCCGCCTGCCTTGGCCTCCCAAAGTGCTGGGATTGCAGGTGTGAGCCACCGTGCCCAGCACATTTATTTTGTTTGTTTTTGTTTTGTTTTGTTTTGTTTGAGACAGGGTCTCACCCTGTCATCCAGGCTGGAGTGCAATGACTCGATCTCAGCTCACTGTAGCCTCCACCTCCCAGGCTTAAGCGATCTTCCCACCTCAGTGTTCTGAGTAGCTGGGACCACAGGAGCAGACCACACGCCTGGCTAATTTTTGTGTTTTTTGTAGAGACGGGGTTTCACCCTGTTGCCCAGGCTAGTCTCGAACTCCTGACCTCAAGGTATCTGCCTGCCTCAGCCTCCCAAAGGGCTGGGATTACAGGCATGAGCCACTGTGCCTGGCCATGTGTTGGACTTCTGTAAATGCAACCTTAGTCTAAATGTAGTAGAGGTCCTTGCAATTTAACTGTGAATAAATTAATATATTAATATTATATTAATATAATGTAAGTGCAGGGATTATAGGCATGAGTCACCGTGCCCACCCTGAGCCATCACACTCAGCCTGAGCCACTATACCCAGCCTTCATTTTTTGATTAATTAATTAGTTAACTTTAAAAATAGAGATGGGGTCTCACCGTGTTGCCCAAGCTGACCTCAAACTCCCAGGCTCAAGTGATCTTCCTGCCTCAGCCTCCCAAAGTGCTGGAATTATAGGTGTGAGCCACCCACCTGGCCAAGAACAGTAATTTCATCCTCATGACATCTGGATAGGGTAGTTATCCTTGTTTTGTACATGAGGATAGGTGCTTAGAGATGTGAGGTAATTTGACATTTTTTCTAGATCACTGGGTGGGCAGAGCCAGATGTGAACCCAGATTCTGCCAAGGCAAATCCTTGTTCTTCACTGCCCAATGCATATGGCAGTTTACCTGTCACTAGGAAGACTGAAGCCACCAGCTGTTCTGCTCCTTCTCTTCTGGCACTTCTTCCTCTCTCTGCATTCTGCATTCTCTGTGCTTCTTTCTTTCCCTGACTGCATCTTTACTTGTAAACCACTGATGAGAGAGAATTTGATGCACAGTGTACTGATGATCCCGTATCTAAAGAGCAGACAGCTGGGTGCTGTGGCTCACACCTGAAGTTCCAGCTACTTGGGAGGCTGAGGCAGGAGGATTGCTTGAACACAGGAGTTCAGGATCAGCCTGGGCAACATAGCAAGACCCCCTCTCTACAAAAATTAAAAAAACAAGAACAGACTTCCTTAAACAGCCACCTTTGACCCAAAGTTGCTGGTACAGGACTTTGAACAGTAGGGTGTGATGCTTTTTGGTTTTTTTTTTGAGTCAGGGTCTCAGTCTGTCACCCAGGCTAGAGTGCAGTGGTGTGACCTCAGCTCACTACAACCTCTGCTTCTGGGGCTCAAACAATTCTCCAGCCTCAGCCTCCTGAGTAACTGGGACTATAGGCGTGAGCCACCAAATGCCTAGCTAATTTTTGTAATTTTTTTTTTTTTTGAGACAGAGTCTCACATTGTCACCTAGGCTGGAGTGCAGTGGCATGATCTTGGCTCACTGCAACCTCTGCCTCCCGGGTTCAAGCAATTCTCCTGCCTCAGCCTCCCGAGTGCCTGGGACTACAGGCGTGCATCACCGCACTCGACAAATTTTTACATTTTTTTTTTTTTTTTTGAGACGGAGTCTCGCTCTGTCGCCCAGGCTGGAGTGCAGTGGCCGGATCTCAGCTCACTGCAAGCTCCGCCTCCCGGGTTTATGCCATTCTCCTGCCTCAGCCTCCCGAGTAACTGGGACTACAGGCGCCCGCCACTTCGCCCGGCTAGTTTTTTGTAATTTTTAGTAGAGACGGGGTTTCACCATATTAGCCAGTATGGTCTCGATCTCCTGACCTCGTGATCCACCCGTCTCGGCCTCCCAAAGTACTGGGATTACAGGCTTGAGCCACCGCGCCCGGTCAAATTTTTACATTTTTAGTAGAGACGGGGTTTCATCATGTTGGCCAGCCTGGTCTCGGACTCCTGACCTCAAGTGATCTGCCCACCTTGGCCTCCCAAAGTGCAGGGATTACAGGTGTGAGCCACCGTGCCCAGCCTAATTTTTGTATTTTTGTAGAGACAGGGTCTCGCCATGTTGTGGCTGGTCTCGAACTCCTGAGCTCAAAGTGATCCACTTGCCTTGGCCTCCCAAAGTGCTAGGATTACAGTCCTGGGTCCAGCCTCTTTCAAATAAGTATAGAATGTTCTAAGCAGCAGTTCTCTAATGGGTCAAGAATGCTCAGTTTATTGAAGTTCCTTCTCATACCTCCTCAGCCCCTGGGAAGATTGTGCGGTTACCTAAGGGACATGGTTTCCCGGTGAAGCACATCCTGAGTCTGCCATCTGCCAGAGTCCTCACACACTAAAAGTGCCTGGTCCACCTGAATCTTGTCTTCCTTGTCATGAGTGCTTGAGGACTAAGCAAGGGAATGAACAGAAAACTAACAAGGTGGGGCATATGGTAAATGTGCAGTGGATGATGGCCTTCCTTACTGTATGCACAATCATTTGCTGTATTTCAGAAACAATTTATGTTCTTTGCCTTTAACTTCAAAAGCAGTTGATTAGAACACATCCCATAGGTTGGCCCGGCATGGTGGCTCATGCCTTGTAATCCCAGCACGTTGGAAGGCCAAGGTGGGAGAATCGCTTGAGCCCAGGAGTTTGAGACCAGCCTGGGCAGCAAAGGGAAACTCTGTCTCTACAAAAAAATAAAAAAAATCAACCGGGCGTGGTAGTGTGTGCCTGTGGTCCCAGCTACTTGGGAGGCTGAAGTGGGAGGATCTCTTGAATCCAGGAAGGAGGTGAAGCTACAGTGAGGTGTGTTTGTGCCACTGAACTCCAGCCTGGGCGACAGAGTGAGACCCTGTCTCACTCTGCCTTCCTCGACAAGGAAGCCAAAATTCCGCTGGACCAGGCACTTTTGGTGTGTAAGGGATTTGGCAGAAAGCAGATCCAGGATGTGCCTCACCACCAGGAAACCATGTCCGTTAGGTAACTGCACACATACACAAATCCGTTTCTGCTTACTTATCATTGTGTAAATGAATCCTCAGAGTCGCCTTGCACAGCTGTGTGGGTGGTGTGAGGAATGTGAAGCATTAGTAGCAGAAAGTCGCACTGAGTCACTTGGGCAGCATGAGGTTGGTATTTGGAGCGTCTGACCCCTACCCCTTCCAGTGTTACTTCTGCTCCTTTCCTCTGCTTTAATTCAAATAGAAATGGATAGCTTTTGCAGTAATCTTAGTTAATGTGAAGTTAAAGAAAGGTAAAGGTAAAAAGAATACACATAATGGATTAGTACTGTGGCAGGGAGGGCACTTTCACTCCTGAGCGTTGTTTGCCTTTTGAGTCGCTCAAGGCCTTAGTTAGGAATAAGAAGGTTAGTTACTTGCCTGAGGCCTCAACAGAACTGAGTCCTTTTGGTATCTTTTCTGGTATCTCCTCAGAATTTTCCTCCACCAACACTCGCCAAAAGTACACAATGAAGAAGAGGCTCTCTTTGGGCACAGTGACTGACACCTGTAATCCCAGCACTTTGGGAGGCCAAGGTGGGCGGATCAGTTGAGCCTGGAAGTTCAAGACCAGCCTGGGCAACATGCCAAAACCCCGTTCTACCAAAAAAAGAAATAAAAAAATTAGCTGGGCATTGGTGGTGCCTGTAGTGCTGGCTACTCAGGAGAGTGAAGTGGGGGGATTGCCTGAGTCCTGGAGGTTGAGGTTGCAGTGAGCCATGATTGTGCCACTGCACTCCAGCCTGGGCAATAGAGCAAGACTCTGTCTCAAAAACAACAACAAAAAATGGTTCTCTTTTGCTATGCTTTTAGTCTATATTTTTCCTATAGAAATAGAAGAAATGGAGTGAGTCTCTTAAAAAAAAAAACGTAGTCTTGGTATTTGCGGGATCTCCCTTTGTGCCCCGAGGCAGTGACATTGGCACAAGTCTGCTAAACCTGGGGTTCAGCATAGCGTAACTAGCTCCGACTCTAAAGGTCAGAACTAGCAGCTCTTCCACTTTAGTTAATGCTATCTTGAACAATTCCATAATTTCTCCGTGCCTCTGTTTATTTATACAATGGGGATAACCACAGTTATCTACCCCATAAGGTTGTTGTGAGGGTCAAATTAAATAATGCAGATGAAGCACTTAGTGCAGTGCTGGCATACCGTAAAAAGCAACTTGTTGTGTAAATCAGTTTTTCCATAACAGATAATACAAGTTAGGAGAGCTTGAAGACTATTTTGGAGATGGAAGTGAGATGATAATAATAGTAAGATTACCGCAGTTGTTCACTACATATCTGGTGTCATGAACAGTACTAGGTGAATTATATGCATGTCATTGAATCCTGACTGGGGCCCTGGGAGGAAGATGCATTGTTACATCTTTCAGTCTAGGGAATTGGAATTCTGAGAGAACAAGTTCCCCACCCGGCCCATTGCTACCTACACGTCGTGGAGCCCAGTCTGAGTCCAGGTCTGTGTAGGTCCTTCCTACACAGTGATCTTCCCACTGTTCTTCCCAGCTGCAGACGCTGATGCCACTGTCAGGTCTAGATGTGGTACATGGTTTTTCTCAAGTCACACCTCTAAGCAGTCCTCACATTACTTTTACAAAAACAAAAGTCTGCTGTGTAAGGTTATAGATAAAAACAAAGGGTCGGGCGCGGTGGCTCACGCCTGTAATCCCAGCACTTTGGGAGGCCGAGGCAGGCGGATCACGAGGTCAGGAGATCGAGACCATCCTGGCTAACATGGTGAAACCCTGTCTCCACTAAAAATATTAAAAATCAGCCGAATGTGGTGGTGGGCGCCTGTAGTCCCAGCTACTCAAGAGGCTGAGGCAGGAGAATGGCGTGAACCTGGGAGGCGGAGCTTTCAGTGAGCCAACATCGCGCCACTGTACTCCAGCCTGGGTGACAGAGCGATACTCCATCTCAGAAAAAAACAGAAAAAAAGAAAGGCAAGGAATTTATGAGTCTCTCTAAAAGCCTTTTTTTTTTTTTTTTTTTACTTAAAAGAATATAATATGAAAAACCTCAAACATACACAAAATGAACGGTAACCCTAGGTATCCAGCAGCCAGAATCAGCAAGCCTGCGATTTTTATTTCATGTATGCCTCCACCCAGTGTCCTTCCTCTACTTGGTCATTATGCTATGTCTCCATATAGTTTGGGCTGCTATAACAAATTATACTGTATTCTGTGTGGCTTAAACAGCAGACATTTATTTATTACAGTTCTGGAGGGTGATAAGTGCAAGATTAAGGTGCTGGCAGACAGGTCTGGTGTCTGGCGAGGGCTTGCTTTAGGATTTGCAGGTGGTCGTCTTCTTGCTTTGTCCTCAAATGATAGAGAGCAGAGAGAGAGAGAGGACACACGTTCTCTAGAGTCTTTCTGGCATTTCTTAGAGCCACTAATGCCATGTGCTCGAATTACCTCTCAAAAGCCCCGCCTCCTCATATCATCCTACTGGGAGTTTAGGGTTTCAACGTGTGAATTTTAGAGGACACAAACATGCAATCTATAACATTATACAGTTTTTTAAAGGTAAAATTTGTATACCTTGAAGTGCACATTGTTTATCTGTACAGTTTTGGCAAATGGATATTCTCGAGTAATGAAGATGTGGAACAAAGAACCGTAGAAAGTTCTTCCTTGTTCCTTTTCAGTTTCCCGCTGCCATCCCAGGCAATCACTAGCATGTGCTCTTTTTTTTTTTTTTTTTTTTTTGAGACGGAGTCTCGCTCTGTCGCCCAGGCTGGAGTGCAGTGGCTGGATCTCAGCTCACTGCAAGCTCCACCTCCCGGGTTCACGCCATTCTCC